TGCTACCTCGGCCTCACAGAAAAGCGACATGAATGACCCCTTGTGTTGTATTTCGTCGTGTTAGTGAGGTTATCGGAGGCGCAATTATCCCCTCCCCCTTACTAATAACCCCAATCCCTAAATCTTAAACAATCCTTAAATTCCTAATCCCTAAAGACCGGTAACGTACTTTTTTTTTTTTTATGGGACAAGCTCGCCACAACCTCCCAAAACCGCTGCAACTCCTGTAAGCCAGGATCTACAGTAGATACAACCATGAAAACACCGGAACACTGAAGTCCGGCGCGTCCCAGGGACATGAGTAACTGTCTTGGTTCCCGCAACGAAGTGAATCAGAAGATATTATAAGAAGAGAAGAAGAAAAAACTATGGTTTTCACTTCCCTCGGTGAATTACTGCAGGAGACAGAATGAATTAAGCCTAAAGGCACAAAGAAGAGACTGTACAACTGGGTGAAGCCCAGTCGCCAAGCACCACGGTAACGTACTTGTAACGCCTCTGGTGTACCGGGTTTCCATGGGCGACGCCGATTGCTTATCATCGGATGTCAGGTCGTGTACCTGACTATCCCATAACAAAAATACATGCGTTGAAATAGAGGCAGGTACTCAGAATGACACTAATTTCCATACACAAAACATGGTAAGTAATAAATAAAAGAAACTTTCTGATTTCTTAGAACCAATCCAAGTTTACCGAGGAATTTATTCAACGCAGTTGTTTCATGGGTACTTTTAAATTATTATACAAAGGTTTGTTCTCTAAGATGATAAGAATGTTCGCGAAGTTACGAGACGAACATGAAATAAGGTTATATCAGATTCTCTTTTCGTTTGTCTCAAATAAGTGTGTTACGAAGTACAGCGTTCAATGTATACTGAATTTTATTTCCTAATACATAAGTTAGAGTTTTTGTTTTATATTCTTGTTGTCTATTGTTTTGTAGTTTTTATATGGCAGTGATTTGCAGGAGCAATGACTTGTGTTTGACTTTGGGTACTTTTCTAAGTGTAGTCGTATATAGATACTCATTATTTTAACGTTTATTTTTAAAAAATACCATAGTTTCAGTGTGTTTGTCCCGTCAGTAAGATAATAATAGTTAAGAATTTTAGGACTTAAAAAATCCTAAGTTCACAATTCGAAAACAAGTGCCGTATTATTTACACAACCTTTGCTATTCACATAACATAACATCACACCTTTTTATCCCCGAAGGGGTAGGCAGAGGTGCACATTATGTCACTGTACAATGTAACACCCACTTTTCACTATTTATGTTATGTTATGCTAAAGCATAGCAGCTAGGCTAGCTAGGCCTAGCCATGAGCTAAATTTTTTTTGAAGTTTAATTTTCATTTAACATCACTTATGATGATCGAAATTAAGCCAAGTCGAACTATATATATACTTTTAGTACCAATCTTAATTGTACAATTTTACAAATTAATGATAACTAGTTGCATATTTTATATCCTCTTTAATACCTTTTATCCTGTAGTTCAAAGTAATTTGAATATGAAAAGCGGTCCCTACCGCAATTAAAACCTGGATTCATGGCTTAATTTGAAGTTTTAGTGAAATATGGCAGTGTTAACTAGTGGACTCGTCCAATGGGGAGTCGCTTTGATTAAACGGAGTTATGCAGTTGATGCTCTGTTTGTATAAATATATATGGGGTATATGGAGACTGTCTCGTTGAGTTAACTTTGTATTTGACTACGAGACAATAAGATAAATGTGATGCAAAAATAATTCTAGTTCTATTTAGACTTAACCTAAATAAAAACCGCGGGCTACACACGTGAACATATTGAGTAAAGCTTTACTAGTTTCGAAATTCGAACCACAGAGGGGTTCTTCGTCATGAGCAGCGTGCGGAGTCGCGGCGATATCTCTCAGCCTACTGGCTAGCAGCGTTGGCGCTTGCGTCAGTGTTGTTCCTTGCGCTGTGAGCTCACTGCGCCCTCTGCCTCCCTATTTAGACTCTCGAAAAGAAGTTTAAAAGGTGCAGACAGTTTTATAACCATTCGTATATTAAAGAATAACTACGCCCGCGTGGTTTCACCAAACTTATAATTAGAAATTATAAGCCCAGGTTTCCTCACAATATTTTCTTTCACCGTTTGTCAGTGGTGCCTGAATATTTCTGTAAAAATATCTGTGAAAATATATATAAGTCGGAAAAAGTCACATTGGTGATTGCCGTTGGTAGGTATTGGACCCTCACGCGTGGTGAAGCGAGCATCTTAAACCTCCGAGCCGCCACGACAGTTACTGTCGACAGTATACTTAGTTACTCGTCAATTCGTGGGAAAAAGTAGAATTAGTGACAAATGCATCCTACTCCGCTGTCCGTTATTCCACGGCTTACTTGTAGTTCAATAGTTTTCTATACTGATTCACTGTTAAAAACACACCATTCAGAGAGATTCGTAACTATAGACATTATTGTCAAAGAATCCTCTCTTGATATTTAAGTATATTTTATACCACGTTATTTAAAATAGAAAACTGATTAATCCATTTTGCATTAACCTAAAACCGAAATTCACTTTATCATCTGCAATAAAAACTGAATTACGCTATCATTTTACTTGAACAAAGTACCGCATTCTTAGTGATAAGAAACTGGGTCTTGTTACATACAATATAGAGGTGTTTACTCCATGTCAACTATTTACTAACTAGACTAATGTGGTAACACTAAGATAATAGAAGTCAGTGACACCGTTAGTTAGATTTTAATCTTTATTCTGTTTACTTAGAAATTAGTTTTGATTAAAATGTAGATGTGTGTAGATGCGTTTATGGATTGCGTTAGATGTTAATCTGTGTTTGAATTAGGAATTATTTGACGGTTGTGGTGTTAATGGTCATGTCAAACGATTTCATATCTTTTTATAACCGAAATCTTAGATAGAGGGTCTCATTTTCAGTATTAACCGGTTAGCTATGTTGTCAGACTTATCAGTCATAGAGAATGAGCCTATTTTTTATGGTATACCTTGTAAGCCGGTAAACGAGTAGACGGATCACCTGATGATAAGCAATCGGCGTCGCCCATGGACACCTGAACCACCAGAGTCGTTACAAGTGCGTTACGGGCCTTTTAGGGCTTAGCAATTAGGATTGTTGGGGATTCAGGGATTGGGGAGATTGGGGAAGGAGGGGGGGGGGGGTAATTTGGCCTCTGGTAACGTCAATTACACAACGCAAGCGTTGTTTCATGTCGGTGAGGCCGTGGTATTATTCCGGTCTATTAGATTCCTATTCGTGCTAAAGCATAGCTCTCCCGCACTAGCCTATTGCCAATCACCGGACACAATTCCAGACTCCATACTATAACTGAGATTTACATAAAAGGCTTATTCTTTAGAAAGGAAGCTTAAACACTTTGCTTATCATAGAAATGTAGACCATCGCTCGTTCCTTAGCCATGGCTCTGCAAATCAGAAGTGCCTGTAACCACAAAACATCAACCAAGTAATCACCATTATTCTTGTCGGAATTTCTCCATAGAACAACGTCAGTATTGCGTTGTCGTTGTGTTGAACAAACATTTCTACGCACAAACGTGTCCCAGACTGTGACGTCATAATGCAACAATGGCGGATAATTAAAATCTTCCGCTAAACTGTTACGCGAGCGTATGTTGTTCACGACATTTCCTCCTGATCTGTTTGAATTTTCTATGTTAGTTATCGCTGTAGAAGTTTTCCTTTATATATTTACTTTCCTCTTGTACGTAGGTACAGGGTGATTTTTTATTATCTATGGTTTAAGGGACTTTTCATTTAGGAACATGCCAGCCCCGGTACAGGGTGTTTCTCCGAAATACTGTAACTTTTATTTATCAAATCGTTATCCTTCCGCGTTGTTAAGTATCGCAGTAAATTATTATCATCTATATTATCATTTTGTTTTTTAATCAGAAGGATTGTTAACTGTTTTAGGTTGTTAACCGTTAATTGTTTGCGACTTTTTTATAGAATCACCCTACTTCAGTTTCTTCATTGTAGATGTTACAGCATTTAGGAATTATCAATTGATTAGTACACCATAGACATAATACCAGTCGAGGCAACGAAATTGATTGATTTGCATCTCTACTCTAAAGACGCCATTAATAGGCGACCATGGTTTTCCATGCAGTAGGTCTATTAGTTAGTCGAAAAACATACTTATAAAATAAGAATGTCTATAAGTATATATAAGTCATTGGTGGAGGCCTATGTTCAGCAGTGGACGTCCTGTGGCTGATATGATGATGATAATGATGATGTTGTATAATTTTTCTATAGGTACGTCTTGAACGTATATAGGTGGACTTAATGCCTTGGGCATTGTCTAACAGTCGACCTTTAGGCGGTGCAGAGATGAAAGTGGCAGGTGACTAAGTAAATATTAACAACTATTATTATTATTATTGTGATGTTAACACGGCTTTACACCAATTACATTAACACATACACAAAGAGAAATCAAAGAGAATCAAAAGGTTACAATAACAGAAAAAGAAAAAAAAAACACATAAATAAACATCAAATTAAAAAAAAATACAATTAAAATTCAATTAAAAACATAAAAAAAATATGACAATTACAATAGTAGATGACAAACAAAAATGTACGTACATCACAAGAAAATAAAAACAAAACATTTCATTATACACTTCAACTACAGACTTCAAAGACTTTCTCAAAAACTGAGTCAAACATTTTTAGTTAGATAATATAGTTATACATATATCCAATACCTATATCATGTCGCGGAGAACCTAACCGGTAACCGGGGCTCCGGCTCGACGTGCAGGAGAAGGAACGAGGTGGTTTTTAGTCAGTAAGAGTCTGACACTGAGGCGGGAGCAGACATTCGATGATTTTCCCCCCTTAAAAAAATACCTATATCATATATATAATAGTACTATGCACACAACCTAAGTAAAAACTAAAAACATAACATACATTTACTTAATCAAACATTTTATATGTTTGCAGGAATTAAATTGGAGACACGGAGCTCACAAGCAGTTTATGTAAGTACTAGCGGCCCGTCCCGGCTTCGCACGGGGGGACTTAAGATTTTTTACATAGTTTTACGTTTTATTTATATTTATTCTCAGTTTTTTTTATTTAGGAAGTATTTAGGTACCTTTTGAAAATATTTTTCTTGAACCATTCATTAAAACGATGTTATGGGTAAACTATAAAAGGTAGACATATGCTCTCGCGGACTCTTAAAAATAATGTTAAGATGAACAATTCATCTATAGAGCATTTTTGTATAACTTTAACTATATGCTCAGCGCACACCACGGAAGGCCTCAGAAACGATACTTTTCCCCCGTTTTTAAAACATTTTTGGTTACTGCTCCACAACTATAGGACCTAGCGTAATATTATAGAGCCTATGTTACTTCTGAATAATGCAGCTTTCTAATGGTGAAAAAATTATTGCAATCGGTCCAGTAGTTTTTGAGTGTATTCATTACAAACATACAAAAATACAAATCTTTCCTCTTTATAATATTAGTATAGAAGTATAGATATATCTGTCTCAAATTACTACAAGTCTATCAAAACAAACCTGCACATGTTGTATTCCTATTAAAATGTCTGACGTCACTGATTAAAATCAATGCTAAGAAAAAATATTCATAAGACGATTAATAGAAACGTACTGATTGACCTACTTTATCCATTAATTTATTACGTCATCTCTTCATATGTCAATGTCGCTGTTAAATCAGTATTAATAAAATTATTATCGTCGAAGAAAAACTTGCGTGTAAACATTCATTGATATCGTAGTGATATGTTTTGTATAATTAAAAGTGCTGCGTTTCTCAAGTAGTGTGCTGTGACGTCACAACACATAACAGAGGTTTACTTGTAATTTTATGTTTGATAAATACTTCTACGCGGTTTTACCCGTTTTGCTCGGCTTCTATAAGTCGTAGCGTGATGTTTTATAGCCTCTAAATACACTATATATATTCTCGATAAATATCCTATTCAACACAAAAATAATTATATTATAACTTACGTGAGACATACTACTTTAATTATGTTTTCGACTGACTCACGTAACTGTTTGACGAGGAACTCGACTAGTTTCAAGCCATACTAGGGGCTCATATTCATGAGCAGCATTCACGAGAAGCGGCGACTGTCGCGCTATTATTATTTTGACAAGAAATACAATATATTTCAAATATTGTTCACGATAAAAAAGATTAACATAAAAAAAGTTGAGAATATTTAATGTTTGGGTTCACTGGTTCCAAATGACCTCAATATCATATAGAAATATGTATATTGATATGATATGAATTAATTACTAGACTCTGTAATTATGAGCTATTTTATTGCCCATTTAGTTCCCTAGTTAACCTAACCTACTGTTGTTTATATCTCATAGTTCAGACGTGTCGTGATTATTACGGTTCTAGTTATTTTAATCACATAACATAACATAACACCACGCCTTTTATCCCTGAAGAGGTAAGCAGAGGTGAACATTACGGCACTTAATGCCACTGTACAATGTAACACTTTTCACTATTTATGAGTCCGATGTACCTCTAATAGGGGGTGAGCTATTGCCATATACCGGATACATTTTAAGACAAAAGAGATCAAATGAACAGCAGGGTTCGCTGATAAAACTAAACTCGCATCCTTTCTGCACGGTTGGGGCGGTGGCTGGGCAACTGGCTGCCGCGCAACGTGTTGCGGGTTCGAATCCCGCACGCATCAACTCTTTGTGTGATCTAACTAGCTACTTCCGCGCGGTTTCACATGCTCTGCTCAGCTCCTATTGGTCGTAGCGAGATGTTTTATAGCCTATAGCCATCCTCGATAAATGCACTATCCAACACAAAAATAATTATTGAAATCAGACTTGTAGTTACGAAGATTAGCGCGTTTAAACAAACAAACAAAAAAACAAACTCTTCCGCTTTTTACCTCAATAATAGTGTAAGATTGTATGTTTGTAAACGCACCCACGACACAGGAGAAAATCCTAGTGTGGGGCAACGTTTAACGCAATAAAAAAAACAAAAAAAGTTGCCACTAGTCTCGTCATTTAGATAAGTATTGTGGTACAATAGTAGACTGTCTCAGATGCTTAATGTAGATGAAGTACTACCAAGTATTCAAACGACTGCTTGTAGAAATCGTCCTACAAGCAGTAATTTAACGTGAAGACGTTAAATACTATAAAATAAACTGTTAAACCGTTAACGGAACCCCGTACATGTTTGGAATTAATTAAATAATGGCCTTCTTACGTGTGTGGGATTCCTACGTTCCATGCGAGTAAAATAATGTGTCTACTTCGTCTTACTCACGGTTGAATTGACAAGTCTTTATTTTGATTGAGGCAAAACATTGATTGCCTCGTTGGTCGAGTGGTCGTAAGTGCGATTGCCGTGCAAGGGGTCTCGGCTTCGATTCCCGGGTCAGGCAAAGTATAACTGAGTTTAAAAAAATATCAGTGGTAGCACGGAGATTGGTCCGATAAATGGCAATAGACTCAATATTACATAGGACTCATAAGAATAGTGAAAAGTGAGTGTTACATTGTAAAGTGGTATTAAGTGCCGTAATGTGCACCACTGACAACCCCTTCGGGGATAAAAGGCGTGATGTTATGTTATGTATGTTGCTAAATTGAAGCATGCGTTCGTGCTTGTGTAACAGTACCTTTATATTTGTCAAAAAAAAAAGCAGTTTTTTTTTAAGAAGCAATTCTGTTTTGGAATTTATAATGGAATATCGATAGGCATTTGTTTATTCTTCGCAACATCTTAAATTCCATTTTCGACCTTTATTAAATTACAAGTTATTTTGTTCTTCATTCCATTGAAGAAGCATTTTTGTTTTAAGTGGACGTTCTTTGACATCCTTTTGAAAATGGACATTGCACAGAGGAGCTACCTTTTTGATATGGCAATCGAATAATTATTTTCTTAATTGTCCTTAATTTCTTCGAAATCGGGCATTCTCAAAAGACCTTGATTTCCAAAAGCGTCAATGTGTCAATGCCGACGTACGAAATTGGAGAGGCGGTATTCATTGTACTTATTGTATCGATAAACGTTCAATTTAAACTGAGATAATTAAAGTAAATAAAAAATATGAATCGTTGTGTTTAAAAATACTCTGACCTCTTTCTGTGTTAAAATAATCTGTGCTAAAGGTACCACTGCTTTACCTAGGGGTAAAGCTATGAGAACACAGTCTATAATTTTATTCTTTTTAACTAATTTAATTATTTAAAAAAACTACTATTTTTCAATTAACATTTCTTTCCGCAGTCGATAATTTCTTACCTACTTACACGAGGTTCATCTCAAAACACATTTGCGTTACGCCGCGCCACGCCGCGTGTTTGACGTGCCAACATCATTTGTATTCAGGTCAATGTGTTTCACGTAATTTCTTACTGTATGTAATATAATATGCGTAATCTCCAAGTTTGTTGTTTGTTTTGCCTCGTGGGGTTACTTAATCGGTCATTGTTGTATACACTTGGTGTTCCTCCTGCTGAGTAAACGTTCAAGTTTGTTCGCAAGCGATAATGATAATTGCTCTTGATATTTCTTTTGAAGTGTGTGAGGTTCTTAGTTAATTGGAGTTTAATACCTACATAGTCTTACCTGAATTGATTGCAGATGTGATTATCGAGTAAGACATGACATAACATAAAGCCTTTTTTGCCTACCCGTGGTAGTTACGGAGTGGTGCACATTACGACACTTACTGCCATTGTACAATGTAATACTCACTTTTCACTATTTCATGGTATGAGTCCTATGTCATAGGGGGTGAGCCTATTGATAGATCGTGTGAGATTTCAGCCTTTTATTGGACTTTAAGACAAAATTAGTCCGTTAATACACTCGTAACAATTATTATATGGGATCCTAAAATAGATTGTGTATTTTGGCCTACCCATATAAAGGTCTTACCCTTATCTAAAGAAAAAACTTAATATTGTATTAAATCTTTCTATTTGTTGCCTCTGTCTCGTTGGCTGAGTGGTCGCAAGTGCGACTGCCGGGCAAGGGGTCTCGGGTTCGGTTTCCGGGTCGGGCAAAGTATTACAGAGTTTAAAAAAAATCTCAGTAGTAGCACGGAGTCTGGAATTGTGTCCGGTATATGACAACAGGCTCACCCCCTATTACATGAGACTCATAAAATTAATCGTGAAAAGTGGGTGTTACATTATACAGTGGCATAATGTTCTCCTCTGCCTAACCCTTCAGGGATAAAAGGCGTGATGTTATGTTATGTCTTTCTATTTGTACAAAACGTGCAAAACTTAGTAAGCTGTCACGTAGACACAAACCTCAGCGAATACACGCTAAATTTTGTGCATTTCATAAATGCTTTATTGGTCTGGTCGGAAACGTTAACCAAACGTGACGTCCCAGTGTCGGCACTGGAAATTTCTCGCTTCAGATTTCTGTGTACTAGCCTTCGGCGAATACAGCATAATACAATTACAGTGTGCGCAGCATCCTAACTTGCAGTAATATATAAATTCGGAACCAAAAACGGTTTTACGGACGAGTTGGTTTCTCATTATCTTTTTGTTCGTACGTCATTCTGTTTTGGTTTTTGTTGTGAACTAAGCTTAGAGTCTAAGAAGCTAGCTTTCTGATAAAAACGTCTTATCGATCGATATAAGAGTGTGCCAACCTCAATGAGCTCTAGTAAAATGACACACATATTTAAGTACTTACATGAATAAGAACCGCCAAAGTTGTCTAAATACTTAACTCTTCTATCTTTATCGCCCAAATATCGTTTTTTTTAAATGGGACAAGCCCGCCACAACCTCCCTAAACCGCTGCAACTCCTGTAAGCCAGGATCTACAGTAGATACAACTATGAAAATACCGGAACACTGAAGTCGCCGCGCGTCCCAGGGACATGAATAACTGTCTTGGTTCCCGCAACGAAGTGAATCAGAAGATTCACTTATACGAAGAGAAGAAAAAGAACGATAGTTTCCACTTCCCTC